TGTATTTATTGGAAAAGTCCAGATTATGAGGTTTTATTTCTTTTTACTTGAAAGAATACCCATTATTTTTTTCACTGATACTTTATTCTTTTTTTCTTCGGTCATATTTATAAGGACGAAAAATTATAATAAACCGAGTTTTTGTTGTAAAATTGAAAATAAAAATGTTTCATCTCTTGGGTTCAGACTAAAACACATATAAACGCAAACAAAAGTATTTTAAATGGAAAAAAGCAACTAAATATTTGTTTATAAGTCATCAGCAAGGCTTGGAACTTTAAGCATTTATATATTTGTTTAAAAAGTGCTAATTGAACTTTTGGTTAGATATAAACTCGATCCATTATTATATTTCAAATACAAAAATTTTTCATATTTTGTTATTCTTTATACGTATATACATATTTCAAGCCTAAAAACTTTTATATGCATATTTGATAGATTTAACGATTTTTTTTTTTTTTTTAGTTTAACAAATAAATATGATAACCAAAATTTAAAATTTTATAAAATAAATTAATTTATCAACAGCTATTTTTGTACTGCTTCCAATGCACTCAACAATAATATTATAATCTCAACAGTACTGAGAACTCGAAATACAACATTATACCATTAGATAACATGTGTTTTTAAAAAAAATGTTGATATCAATGAATCCATGAAACGACTGGCGCTGAGGGTAGACAAATTGCAAATGCCATAATAGGAACTCTAGAAGATAGAAAAGGATAGAGAGAAGATAGAGAAGAATTTTTAAATTTCTAATAAGGAATATATGTCTAGATGAGGTGTATTAAAATACGAATTAAATATTGTGTGGAAGCTCTCACACGCATTTGTTGTTCGTTCGCTACCATAGACGTAACCAGAGGGACGTAGAGTATGCAACTGCATACCGTGCAATCAATTTATATTCTTCTTTTTTGGAGGTTACTATTTTTCTTTGTAAGTTCGCTTTTTGCATATATAGTTATGACCTTGGTATCACGTTTGACCGAGAGTTAAATTTCCATTCCCATTTGGACAATATATGCTGCAAGGCCCTAAAAATGCTTGGTTTTATAAAAAGAATTTGTAATGAGTTTAAGTTAACTTCTCCCATAAAAATCTTATATTGTGCCTACGTAAGGTCAATTTTGGAATATGGTGCTGTTGTATGGGATCCTTCCACTTCTTGTGGTAAGGATCAAATTGAAAGAGTTCAACGTAAATTCCTCAAATATGCAGCATTTATTTTAAAGATAGACCATCCACCTCATGATTATAACCCAATTTTAATTAAATTTGGTTTATTTTCATTAGTTGATAGAAGAAAAATTGCTAACCTGAAATTTCTCCGCCTAATAATAGATGGCTGTATTGACTCTCCTGTCCTACTTTCCATGATTAACTTTAAAGTCCCTTGCTCTTCTGTCCGTCAAATCTATCCATTTTTTATTCCTAAATGCAACACCAACTATTCTGAGAACCAGCCAATTTTTAGAATGATGCGTATGGCAAATAATGATCCATCATTTCTGTAGCATTGTTATATTTTTTATTTATTTTTTTTTTGGTTTTCATGTTTTTAAATTAGTATATTAGTAATAGTCACTATTTTTATGGTTGTTATCATATATAAAATTTAATTAGTGTTATCAGTGTTATCATATTATGTAAATTGGGCTCAGCCCGTATTGTTAATAATAAATAAATGAATAAATAAATAGTTATATAACTATAGCTTTCTTGTATGCCCTGAACACGAAGTCTCGCTACTTCTATGTTCACTACTACTGCTCATATCTGCCCATGTGTGAGGAGGGAAGCCTGACTGTGGATCTATATAATTTTCGACTAGATAATCCATAAATTGATTTAATTTTTCATCTTCAGGCTTGACAAACATAAAATCTTCTATAAAACTTATTTGAAATTAAAATATATTTTTTAAAAACCTACGATATAATTAGGAGGACGCACTCGGGTGACACCCATCTCCAATAAAACGGCCTAAATTGCATTATAATTTACATCTTTATTCGTATATATATATGTATATTCTATTATCAATAGTCATACATATGAAAGTTTTCGTGTTAACTTTCATGACTTTCTTATATTATTATATTAGAAAATTTAATCGAAAAATAGGAAAAAAAAGTATATTATAAATAATCGTATGTATTAAATGACAAATCAACATTACAGCATCAAATTAAATTTTAACCGAATAAAATAATTAAATAAAATATAAAAAAATAGGTATAAATATAATACAATAAATAAATAAAGTATAATAAGAAGTACTTATAAGTGTAACGAGTTAAATGAAAATGATTCAATCCAAACAAAGTTTGAGTATTTTTATCATACTTAAAAATAAGTATGTATGAACTTGTGGTATTTGTTTAGATTAAACATTTACAATACTTTTTTACAGATCACATATTGCAGACCTAGGTGTTGGCATTATAGTTCACATTCGTTGTATGATACACATAACATACGATGTACAAAATTAAACAAACGGTATGGTACCAGTTGTTTGAACAAGTGATTTACGATTTTAAAATTTTATCCCATCGCGACCTTAATGCTATGATGCTTAAGTAACTTTTAATCCTTAAGTTCTTTTTGTTCAAAAATATAAGTATTGTATTATGTATATACATTTTTAGGATTCTGCTTTTAAATCTTTGAGGGCTTGTATGTTTGCTTTAACTCCATTGCTAACTTTGTTCTGATTAAAATGTGTTATTTTATCCTCCCTAGAAGACGGGCGCTATGCAGAACTTGATAAAATGAATCTTCATGAAGTTAGTCCCAATAAGTTGACAGATAAACTTGAAAATTATGCCAATATTTTGCAAATTAATTGCAAATTGGTTTTTACGATTTAGAAATCAAATCTGTAATTTTGGCGATGTCTTGCGAATTTTTTGCAAGCCCCACCAAAATGACCAATCCATACTTACAATCTCGGATTGTTCCAAACATTTTATTTGAATATAAAATATGTATATATAACCTGCCATAGTTATGAATTGTGAAGCGTATTATTATTTTCTAATATAATCTACATCGTGGCAGGCACGTAGTCAGAAAATATTCACTAGGGGTGGGCCAATGTTAGGTGGGCCCTCTCCTCCCAGGACTTTTTTATATTATTAAAAGGTAGTTATCAGCGTATCATTACTACAAATATATATGTATATAACCTAATAATACCATATTTTATCATTTTGCTCTTCTCTTTGTAATTTTAGTTTTCTTTTGGCACATTCACTAAGAGATGCCATTTTAAAATTAATTTAAGTATTAAATATATAAGATAAAATGTATAAATACTATAAATTGTACAAATATTAACGCAGGTGACGTTAGCATCAGTGCGGCATGCGCTGAATGTGAATATAAGTGCCCAATCGGAGACCATAATATAATTCTATATTTCTATATGAATCAATATAATGACAATACCTTCGCTAAAAGTATTTTAAAAATAGACATACAAGTTTACAGTAGTCCAGTGTTTCTCAAACTGTGGGTCGCGACCCCCTAGGGGGGTCACCAGTCAATTTTTGGGGGTCGTGATAAGTTTCTTTAATTATACAGATTGTAAGAAACAAGCACATTCATCATATACGCCTGATTATTAATTAAGTATTATATTATTATTATTATAAAGTAGTAAATAAGTAATAAAATAAAAAAAAATTGTTTTTTGAAATTATTTTTTATTGATTCTGTAAAAGTAAAACTATGGGGTCGCGATAGATTTTTAGAAGAAAATTTGGGTCGTGGTCCTAAAAAGATTGAGAACCACTGCAGTAGTCCTGTCTAGATATGATAAGAACAAATTGGCATTGTAGTATAGTACCGGTATTTAGCTATAAATAGCAATCATTTCCTAATCGATCGTTTAAATTTAGTTACAAGTTACATGACTTAGATTATAATTAAAACCCGATGTATTTGGTTTTATTTGCGTCATATTTAGGCAATATTAAAAATTTGGTAAAAATTAAAAGCAATCATATAATAATGAGCCCCTCTCAATACTTTAGGTAGGCCGGCCTAAGGTCGGACACATATTAGAGTGGGCCAGGCACACTCTGGCCCTCCTTTACCTACGTGCCTGTCTATAGGTATTTACCAGTTGCTACATCAGCCATTTCAGAAGAGGACTTGAATAACATACCGACAATAGATATAATACTAGATGACAATGTAATTGTAGATCATCGCAAGTAGATCATAGAGTATCAATAAAGGAAATCAGAAACAGAATAGGTTAAGAAAAAAATCATATTCCTTAAAAAAAAGAGACTTTTAACTTCGAAAACCATGAAAATATTCATTAAAAGTAGGCTTATAAAATCATATGTTTGGAGTGTAGCATGGAACGAAATATGAACAATAAATAAATAAAAAAAAAAGACATAATACAAGCTTTTGATATGAAATGCTGGTGAAAAATACAGAGAATAAAATGACTGAAGAAAAAAGAAGTTAGGACGTTCTAATGACAATAGAAAAATATTATTATTGATAGATGCTTTAAGAAGAAGGATGTAAAAGCAGATGAATGATGATTGCAGATGCACATTGGACACACACTGAGACGTATTGCATAGTTTAATAATTGAAGGAATGATAACAGAAACGCGACAAAGAGGAAAACCTATAACAAAATACATCAGCCAAATATAAAGGATACTGTAAACACTTCCTAAGTGAGCTAAAAGATATGTCGAACGACAGAGTTCTTTGAATTGACTCAATTTGAATAGAGCATTTCTTGTGATTACTTTTGATAAAAACCAATCTTAGGATCGAAAAAAAAATGTATGTGTATAATATTTTCTAATAATCCTGTGTCATACCTAACACGAATGAATGTAGAGTAAAATATTGAAAAGTGCAAATGAACCCTCACTGAAGATTCGCATAACTACCCCACGGTGTTTTGTTACACCGCAGCTTCTACCGTAATCTGTGAAATTTTTTCCTACCTGTTGTTCGCTGTAGTCAGTTTGGGCCTCGGCATGGAAGTTTGCAGACGGCTCTGATGGGTAGTATCCATCTTTGGCAAGCCAATATGCGGTACGACCGCTGTGCAGGACTATGACGAATAGTGCCAGGATCAGCAAACCGTACAGTAGACGACGTATTTGCCGACCGGTCATGTTTTCTGCTTGTATACGCTCTCGAGTATAATATATATCAATATTCTGAAACATAACAATAGACCGTTTTGTTGCATTATTACGAAAAGGGTAAAACAAAACGAGTGGTACTTATGGTACGATCGGCACGGTACAAAGGAAGTTTTTGAAGTGAAACTCTTTTGCGCAGGGGTCTGTACTAAAATTTTTCGTCGCGGGACTTCGCACAACGATCGGTAGTTATACGCTCGGCCACAGTGTTTCTTTCAGAAATTTTTTTCGGGGTGAGCATTTGATAAATGTTTTTTATGAAATGTTCAAATTATTCAAAAATGAAGTTCATTTACATTACAACAGGAAAAATATATTTTTTAATAAAAGATTTACAATTATTGTAAAAAAAATATGTTTAAAAAATAAGAAACAAGGTAATTTATACTTTGTGGTTTATTTTATTAACGAAATAAAATATATAACTATAAATAAATTTTATTAGTCTTGGAATATTTTAATAATATGGAAGGAATATCTCATGTTTGAAGAAGACGACGTTTCTCTAACAAATAATTGATTTTCACTGAATACAAATTAAAATAACAAAAAAAAGATTCAAACTAAATATACACGGTGTATCAAAAGTCTTCATCCAATTTCAAAAATTTATAATTATATTAAAAATGAAGGTATAAGGGTGAAATAAAGTAAAATATATTCTTAAAATAGTCAAGTTTTATTTACTTTGGTTACAAATGTTTAATATGATCTCCACCGGCCGCCCGACACACATCTATAGGGTAATCAAATTCTTCCCAAATGTTGCTGATCATTTCTGGTATCGCGGCATTGACAGCATCTTTGATTCTGATTTTAAGCTCTTCCAAGTTAGTAGGTAATGGCGGTACATACACATTATCTTTTATGTAGTCCCATAAAAGAAAAATTACACATTGTGAGGTCAGGGGAACGTGGTGGCCAGGGATGAACTTCGAACGAAACTGTCGAACATGCTCGATGTTTTCATCAGAGGTACGAGGTTGATCTGAGTGTTTTTGTGCACACAGACAACCACTTTCTTGGAACGTTTGGTGCCAACGTCGAATGCTTTGTGCAGTAGGAACTTCAGTTCCCTAAGTTCTTCGAAAATCAGGGAACTGAAGTTCCTCGTAAATCATATTGAACCGTTAATGCCGACTCGCACTTATTGAAACGTAGGACGCAAAACGCTTTTTGTTGCGTACTCGTCATAACGAAACAAACTAACGGTTCCTAGTTCACTAACCGTTACTGTGCCAAATTTATCAACTAGATAACTTAAAATAAACTTAGCTATCTAATCTTTCCATTAATACATCAGTCATTAACCTGCGATTAACCGTTGCCGAACTATATCAGTTCGGAAGAAGACTTTTGAAACACCGTGTATAATACAATTCAATAATTGGTAAATATATATTAGGATTTAATTATATTAGACGAGTTGTTTTATACAATTGCAAAATATTTTTAACACACAATAATTATTTAATACAATTGTTTTTTATATAATATATAATTTTTAAATTGAAAAACTCTAAGTGCTCAACGATATTCATCTTATTTAACTATTTTATTTGATAAATAGGTTAGCTGTCGGATACGTTCAAATCATTATCAATTTTATAAAGCCGGATTATTTTGCAACGCTCACATTTATTAAATTAACCAATGATAAAATTCGAAACGTAAGAGTTTAGCGTCAATCGTGTTATTATATTTATACAGTATTGGTGTCTTTTTTTTTTTTGTTGAGAGTTTTCGAAAATGTTTTCAACAAATTATTACAACTTATCCCGACAGTAAGGTATTACGAATAATGTCTATAATTTTTAACCGTATACTTACGTTTGAATTTGTAGATGCAATTAACTAAGGGAGTGAATTAAAACGTTATTAGTTTAAAATAATTGTTGTGACATAACAAAGCGGTAAATATAAATTTGAGTAACGATTTGAATAGCGGTCACAACTTGTCAAAAACGTCAAACGAATACAATGGCGCCGTAATCTATGAACTGGCTATTCTCATAAATTGTAGACATAGTAGGACGCTCCTCCACCCGCGTGTGTTGTCATCGTTTGACAAGCGTACGAGGAATATGGAAAATTTGCGTTCAGTCATTCTAATGTAATGGTGTTAGTTTTTGTATTAGCCCTTTTCAGTGTCCTCTATATGAGACGCAACAATATTTAATTTAATACTATTGCTGTGATAATGTATTATTTTATGTATTGAATTTATAGGAAATGTACCGTAGAATCAAAAAATAGTTTTGTAAATAATGTGGGATTCGAATTTCTAGAATTATAGATTTAGTTATTTTATATTATTTCGTCGTTATTATTTTCACGGAATTAGTATATATAAACGTCTATAGATTATTAACCGATAGTGATAATTATTTGGTTTTTTTTTCTTATTTCGGCAATTATCGTATGAGTGTTTTTAACTAATGTAATGATGTGCATCATTCGACTGTTAAAGACGGCACAAATATTTTATTATGTATACAATATATATTTTTAAATTCTTTCAAATAAATAACGGTATCTTCGATACCCGCACGAACGACACGGGTCGAACAATAGTAGTATTGACATCCCTACATTAAAAGGACAGGCCCAAGGTCCATGCCGCCGCGTGTGCCTATATAACAGGGACACACACTCAGAGTCCTTAATCTTAGATCGTCAGTGCATGCGCACCGATCATAAGATAAACGACGGGACACACGGAGTCATTGGTCTTAGATCGTCAGTGCATGCGCACCGATCATAAGATCAACGGCGAGCGATTTGCATATTTACATACGCGATTTGTTTTGAATCATTCAAGTTTAACTTAAATAAAAGAAGAAAAAAATATTGAATCTGTTCGACTTGCGTTCTTCGTACGAGTGTTGAAGAATACCCAGTTCTGGTGCCATTAAAATTTGCATTTGTTCTTTCTTGTTCAACCTCACGTCGACATCAGAAGATCTACGGCGAACAGGTAAGTGCTATTTTATTTAGCTTGGCAGACTGCACAATTGCACTGATCGGCTCTCGAACCTTCTCAACCCCGAGAGCCCTCCCTTAAACAAGGAGGAAGGTAATAACCCATCGCATCACACCTACCACACCTATATCCCTACTTTATTTCATTTTTGTACTTTTGGGTTATTACACTAATTTCCATTCTATTATGTTTGATATAACTAATTTTAAAGCTGACTTTAATTCTGATACCCGAGGTTGCTCCGCGAGACATCTGATTCACCTAAAAAAAAAATGTTTACACGATACGTATCTATGCGCGAAGCAATGTCATTCAGGGCGAGCCACAGTTTATGCGAGGCAACGATGGCGGCAATACGTTACGTGCGAGGCAAGACGCTCAAAGAAGTAGTTTACACGACGCGAAACAAATGTACGAATCTTCTTTGACGCGCGTCCAAATACCGAATAAACTTCCGCTTTCCACATAGGCGTAGATACGGGGGGGATATGAGGGATGGATCCTCCCCCATGATCTTTTTTTTTTATATATTTTACATAAATTTTATGCATTACACGGAAGATAGAAAAACTGAAAATTCTATGTTATCAATTTTTATAAATCGTTTTATTTTAATTTAACCGATAGATAACGTTTGATCAGATTGTCGGAGAACTTATTAATCACTACCATCGATCTCATACTAGGTAGTAGGTAGTCTAAGCTGATAAGCTATAAAGTTTATTAATTATTATTACGGTTATACTATCTTTAATCCACAGATATATATATATATATATATTAAACTATATATATCTGTGCTTTAATCTTAATGTTATCATACAATAAACTCAATTATAACAATATTATTCTGAGTTTTTGATTGCTCTTCAAGGTGTTAAGGTAATAAAACATTGTACTTGGGTTTTAATGATATTTTTTGTATTTAGTTGTTAATAATTATCGCCTATTATTAGGTGGTATTTTCTTATGGTTTAGCTTTATGTAAATGTTTTCAAAAAAAATTATATTGACTTGAAAGAAGCCGTACAGTTAGCAGAGTGCAATATATCTGTGCCTGAGGATTTAAGACAAAATATCGAAAAAGAATTTAAATCAATGTATAAAAAGGCTGAGGTATACTAATTGTTATTGTCTTTAGAAATTATTTTTGTTATATAGGAATACATATTATATAGTATATTAATTTATTAAATATAATTAGAAAATGGCAGACTTTCTGGATATTAATATTTCTTCAAACGTATAATCAAGAAACAGGCAAATCGGGCCAATGTATCTTCTGAGAATAAGACGATTCAACCTGAAACTTACTATAGAATAACCATAGCGATACCATACATTGATTCTTTTATAATTAATTTTAAGGAAAGGTTTCTTGTCCATAAAAATATTTTAAAAGGTACCTAAGTTACATTAAAATTATCATTTGTTATTAAATACCATTTACAAAAATCATTATGTATGGACTTTCTATCTAGGTTTTCAATGTATATTTTCTGGCAACATTGATTTTCAAGAATTTGAAGAATTTGTACATTTTGCAATCAAAACTAAGTGTAACAAATAAAAATCCTACGATAGCCATAGATGCCCTGAGACTATGTGATTTCTCAGTATTTCCAAATGTATATCAACTACTGAAAATACTATGTACCTTACCGGTGTCCACATCGACATCTGAAAGAACGTTTTCATGCTTTGAAAGGCTGAAAACATACTTAAGGAATACGATGGCTGAAGTAAAAATAGTTATTTTTCGTATTTAAATTTAGTATAAAATATAAATCTATCTAGATTTATGTATTTACTTTTCAGACTCGACTAAATGGATTAACATTATTATCAATTCACCGGGAAATTTCTATTACGCCCGATAAAATTCTTGATATCATGTATTATATTTTACAATATAATATCAAGAAAAATAAATATTATATTGTAAACTATAATACATATTGTAGAAAAATATAAATAATTTTTTTTATACAAAAATGTACTAGTTTTTTGGAGTAACATATCCCCCTTCCCCCAATGAAAATTCTTGTCTACGCCACTGGCTCGTCACGAGGCATCCTCGCTTGACTCGCTTATTACCCGAGGCAAGTTCAGACAGGGCAAAACGTGTCAAATCTTGACTCGCGCATCAGATTCGCGTCGTGTAAACCTGGCTTTATGGAGGACATTGGGTCGCAACGTTCGTGGCATTCGTGATCTCGTAATCACTTTGTTAGCGTACCCGGTGTCGTTACGATACTGATTATATTTCGCTCCCTATATTACGCGTATTACGAGTATTTTATGCTTTTACGGTATTATAATAATATTAAGTATTAAAATATTATATAATATATTTTATTAGTTATTTTATTATTTATTTTATTAAAAATGGCTAGGGATTTACGTGACTATGACATTTTTGATTTATTGGGGGACGGTAATGTGTCAGAATTGGATATTTCGAACAAAGAAACAGGTGAACTATTTGAAAGCGAATTATGTTTCAATAGTACAAAAAATTGTTTTTTTAATTTCCATCAATAAAAAAGTTATTTTTTATTATTTTATTATATATAAATAAATACAATATACTTTTGTATTATAAAAGTATATTGTATTTATTATTTTTTTATACACAGGGATTTAATTTAATTTTATTGTAATTATGAATAAAAATATTTATTTTTAATTACATTATATTGGTTATTATATTTATTGAAACATTTTAAAATAATTTATGATAATTATATTATTATAATATTATTATTATTGTTATTATTATTATTATTATTATTATTATTATTATTATTATTATTATTATTGATCATTTTAATTTTAATTTTTTGTAACCATTCAGATCCAATGTCCCTACAGAGGACATGTACCCAAAGTTGTCAAAAACTAAAAATACATTTTTCCAAAAATATTTTACTCTTATTATAGTCCACAGTAAAATAAATATACCACAAAAATTGTTCTATCATGTGGATTACTACAATAGTTATTAATTTAACGTTGTGACTTTTGAGTGCAATTATTATACATTGTATCTATATAATTACTATTTATTTTTTCTTATATAGTAGGATAATTTAATGGGGAGAATAATAGTTTCTCGATATAATTTTATTTCCTTAGGGCAAAGCCAAACTTTGATGTAAATAAGTGAACACTGGTTAGTTACAAAGCATAGAGACTGCGTCTGACGGGCATCCCTACTATCGTGACAGTGACGTTACGTCAAAAGTCTAGGCGCACAACGTCTAGACGTACCTTGAAACGCGTACCTTAAAGGGATAATATTAACTGTGATTTTTTGGTCGGTTATTTCTGATA